TGAACTGAAGGAAATACCTCTATTGCAAGCCAGTTACACATGGTCCAACCTTCAGGAAACCCCTTTGTGCTCGAAGTTGGATAGATTCCTTTTTAACCTTGCCTGGGAGAATAGTTTGGAAAACTTGGTTGCTAGGGCATTACCCAAGGTCACCTCCGATCACTGTCCTATCCAAATAGAAACCGAGTCTTTTCCTATAGGACCCAAACCTTTTAGATTCGAAAATATGTGGCTTACCCATCCAAATTTTGTGAAAAAAGTGAAGGAGTGGTCGGGTGAGGAGGAGAGGGGGGTAAGATGGAAGGGGATCAAGTTCCATAAGAAATTAAAAAAGTTGAGAGCCAAAATAAAAGAGTGGAATAGAGATCAGTTTGGTAGAATTGAGGAGCAAAAATTGGGCCTAATCTCTCGAATAGAGAAATTGGATGTAAAGAAATCTCACAATGGGCTGACCGAGGAGGATAGAGTGCTAAGGAGACAATTAAAAAAGGAATTGGAAGAAGTGTTATTGAGGGAAGAAATCAATTGGAGACAAAAATCTAGACACAAGTGGATTAAGGAAGGTGATGGAAACACTAGATTCTTCCATGATTTGGCAAATGGGAGACGAAGAAAGAATTTTGTGACCAAGCTAGAGATAGGAGAGGAGGTGATTACCAACCAGGATGACGTAGCCAGAAAATTTGTGGACCACTTCGAATCGATTTATAGAAGGCCTTTGAGTGAGAGAACAGTCATGGAAAGGGTGGATTGGCCAAGATTGATGAAGTGGCAAGGTGGCTCGAAAGGGATTTCGAGGAAGAAGAGATTAAGAAAGCTGTCTTTCTAATGGATAGATCCAAAGCTCCAGGTCCAGATGGATTTACAATGGGTTTTTATCAAGACTGTTAGGAGGTGTTGAAAGAGGATCTAGCTAAAGTCTTTAAGGAATTTGCAGACAATCACACTATAAGCCCTGGAATTAATGCCACCTTTTTGGCCTTGATACCTAAGAAGAATGATGCCAACCACCCAAAAGATTATAGGCCTATTAGTCTGGTGACAAGCATCTRTAAAATTYYGGCTAAAGTGCTCTCATTGAGGATCAAAACAGTCCTCCCTACCATCATTAGTGAAACATAGGGGGCTTTCATTCAAGGGYGACAAATAACAGATCAGATTTTAATTGCGAATGAGTGTGTAGAGGAAATGAAAAGGTCTAGTAGGAAATGATTCATTTGTAAATTGGATCTTGAAAAGGCCTATGATTTGGTGGACTGGGAGTTTCTATTAGAGGTTATGCG